AAAAAAAAAAAAAAAAATCACATATTTGTTCTTTACATAATCTTAGTTTTGTATAAGAAATTAGCATCTCACCTGGAACTGCTGCAGGGACTGTCCTCTGAAGAGCTGTCACTGTTGCCTTGGCAACATCTTCAGGTTTATATTTGATAGGACAGCTTTGACCTGCTGTAACCATGTTGGGTTTCAATAGAGTACCCTCTAGATAAACATGGTGGTCATTAAGAGCTTTGTAGACTGCAGCTAACACCTTTTCAGTCACTTTCTGAGCACGCTCTAAATCATGAGTACCATCTGGTAAAACCTCAGGCTCAACAATCGGAACAAGGCCAGCCTTTAATAATAAACTTTTCATTAGAAAAAGCCAAGTATATAGTTCATTACAACAAGATACCGTCAAAATATTCATGCGAGCAGGTGAACACATTAATAAATAAATAAATAAATGAGTATTACTTTTTTTTTTTAAAGATTGTTTAAAATATACAGTAATGTACAAATTTATTAGAACACCTCAAAATTGTCAATTTATTACTTAATACAGTGGCTAATTTGTAATTATTATTATCAGCAGAAATGCACAGGAAACATGTTTGTATTGTGCTGATATAAGCTGTAGTGTTTTTTTTATATATTAAAAGTAGTACCTTAAGAGAAAAAAAAATAAAAATTTTTTTAACAAGAACTCCATTTTTGTTTTAGTATTATATTTACAAACTGCATCAATAAAAATATAATCAAACTCTCACATACTATAAGGAATTAGCAATATTTAGTACAATTTATGTAACAATCTAACCTGTTGACAGCACGAAGCAAACCGAGCTAGGACGTTAGCATTTTCTGCAATTGCTAGTGGAGAAGGACAATGGTCACTGATCTTTAGCACACATCGCCACTTAGTGAAGAGAGCACCCTGTTTCTTGTATTCTTGACACCTTTTTGTAAGGTCATCTAAACCTACACCAGTTAAAATGGCAGATAAAGCATAATCAGAAAGTATTTCACACACAAAATCATTCACAAACAATTAGGGATGGTAGAGGTAGGTCTACTATGATATTTATAACTACTTTGGTATAAGAATTGCAAAAACTTAGGTCTTCATAAAATGCAATAATAACACATATGTAGTATCAAATAAATAATTGAATTGCTACAATTCTTATTTACGTAAATGCATTTACGGCTTTATTAAAACTTATTTTAATTAATTGCATAAGTACAAATTGTGGAATTTTATTTATTGGATTTTAAGCATTAAATAAGTGCCAATCATTATTGCATATGTACTATAAATTCTTCCCATTTCTTTCAATTGGGTTAGGAATAATATTACATAAAAATTCAAAAAAAGTGCTTTTTTGAAATAAATCAATGAGCAAGATGACAATGGGATCAGAGGTTGCTTGACTCACTAAGACCAAAGTAAATATAGCTCTTCACATTACAGTAGCCACCTACT